TATGGCATTCAAAACCTAAAATGCATTTTAAAATTACTTTGCACACTTTCTAGAAAGTTGAGAATGGGTGCATTTTCAACATTGCCTATTCATCAGAATCTGTGTATCTAAAATAATCTGAGACTTAACAGCTGAAGTTGTGTTCTCTTTTCACAGTTTCCCATTTTGATCTCCTCTTCTGAATGGATATGAGGGGCACCTGCCAGGGTGAATAGACACACTGGGCTTTATTATAATCATCATGTCACAACTGTGTTTTAAACACAGGCTTGCACAGGGAAACTATTGGGGATTTAATTAGTGGGCCAACTGAGAAAGGAGCTCAGGCCTGCAAAGATCCAGAAAGGATTCCCCGTAGAATTGATCCTCCACGTCCATGGTAGTGTGTTTGGGCCTCTGCTACTCCAGGACTCTTTCCAATTCCATGTCTCACCCCAAGCCTGTACCCCTTATCATGAAACCCTACCCATTAATTGTGCTAGAGTGTGGTCATTCAATCCCTGTCTAAGAGTCTACAGCTGCCCAGTATTTCAGTCTCACTTGTCAGCCAGCTACCACTTTACATTAGGAAGCCTTCTGGACATTATACTTTCAAGGTCAGGTTGCTTTGACACCCCTTCAGCTCCCACCTATGTGACTGCTAAACCACTGGACGTGTCTACATCCAACCACATTAAGACTTTACATAGTGCTAAAACTTTCCTAATATCATACATAGACCAAGTTCAGGTACACACAAGATATTAAGAAATATGCAACTGAATTTGTATCATCCCTGCTGAAAACTTGATTTTTGTTGATCATAGCTACCTTTGTCGGTAAGACGCTGAGTCACTAAAAATGTATACAATATTTTCATTTTTGATGTTAACCTTTCAATGTAGTTGCCAGCCTGCAAAATTGATCTGTTTCTTTTCTTCAAAGATACAACTTAGTTTTTAGAAATTAACTTCAAATCGCCCCAAATCAGACTGCAGAGCTGAAAAAGATTTAATTACACAGTAGGATTCCTAGTGTATGAATCCAAAATGTGCTTGAAATCTCTTTTTCCATTATTTTAGAAGTGGCATTAATTCATTTGAAACGTGCGAACATGGATTTGCAGAGAGAGCAAATCCCAACAAAGGAGCATATGCTGAAGTTGTTCTGCCAGGAGGAAGCCTCACCATACCAAAAATCACACAGTGATGCTGAATGAAAACCTTGAGCAGCACTGTCTATAATTGCCAATCAAGCAAATTTCAGCACTGGCCATGGAAACTCTGAAAAAAATAATCATCCCTTAGCACTGTATATGGACATCTCACAGTTGTGTTTCAATGCCCTGGATTTTATGACTGATACAGATATTCTATCACACTAATTCTCATTGTGCAACAATCCTCCTTTATTTCATCAACAGTTTTGGTGTCTGCAAAAATCTCTATGTTCTGTATCCTATCAAATATATAACAAAGGAATGGGCACAGGAGATGCAACTGGCACATTTATTTCACTATGAAGGTAAAAGGATACAATGAACACATACCATAGAGCTATAGGGGGAGAAAAGCAATTATGGAGCATTTCATATCTGTATTATGGTGTTTTAATGCACTCATGCACACATAAATTCATGTCTGCTGTTGATACAATTGCAAATATTCTCAAATACTTCATCACTCGTTCAGTTTAAAATATTGGGTAAGTCACTAAAACGATCCTATCAAAAATATATTTAGCAATGGTAAACAAACAAACTACATCTGATTAAATGCCAAGTGTGCAAATCTTCTGCTTCTCTCAGCTGTCCATTGCATCATCTAAGCGTGCACACGGCATTTAATATCTTATGTGACAGCATGTAATTAGATAGGCAGAACTCACAAGTGCTTCACTACTAATCTTGAGTTCTGATGTCTTTTGTCATGCTAGATAGGTAAAGCAGCCCATTTGTATAATCAGCAATGTATAATATTCCGTTGCTGGCTTTACTATTAACAAACAAGTTAAATTTATTTTAACAATTCTTTAAGGATTTAGAACAAGCTATGAGAATAGATACCAGATGTCCATGGTGCCTTGGAATAGTGAGGATGTTGATCAGAATGAGAAGTTCTGTCCTTTGTGAACCATTGCTAAGTATTTTTACTGAACCACTAGTTTGAGTATCTTCCTATAGATATCATCACCTGTAACAGCTAGTTGTGCGCTAACAAACTTCTATCCACTATCTTTAGATTAAGACATCTGTGAAACCTCATTTGCCTAAAATTATTCACTTTCAAATAATTACGTCTTTTTTAATTTACAAAAACACAAACTGCTGCCAAACCAAGTATTGGTTAACAACCAATACCAGGTTACCATTTGAATATTACAAAGTTCAGAGGAGAAATACATCCAATCTTTACATAACCAGATAAGCATACTTCAGTATAAATTAATGCAAATTCAAATTGGGAACCAAAATGTGCCATTCATTTCCATCGGATAATTTGTATGATAGTTGCTGACCGTCTTTAGCAGATCAAAAGAAAGGAGGAAATTAAGTTGACATCCATCGCGTAAGCATGTATTATTAAACATTAGTTGCAAGATTTCTCTTCCATCTCCATGAACGGTATTCCCATGTGGGATTCTGACTGCTGGAAAAGCTCATATACTTTGCAATGATGGTTAGAGGTTCTAGTTTTCCTTTCTCCCCTCAAAACATGCGTTTTCTCGACTTGCAAATGTTTTATTTTCTTGGCGGTGGTTGGAACTGAAATGTTTCTTTGCACAGCAGGAGTATATTTTTACATTGATATTGATATTCTTTCCTGGTTCTTCTGCGTAAACTAACAAGGCAGAGAAAGTCTGTGCTGATGAAAGCATCAGTGTGATTCCATTCTGTTATTCGCGGTGTTTTGAGGACTTCCACTTCCATATGTTATTCCTGAAGGGAGAGAAGGGGGGAGAGAGAGAGAGAGACACAGAGAGAGAGAGAGAGTTATTTCAGAAAAAGCTTACTCCAGCATCCAACCATCATCAATTTTCACCACATGTCCACCTGCACTTTGAAGGTAATATAGCCTGGATTGGTCTCCAGTTCCAGAGGCTTCAATTTTTCCACCAAGAGTCAAAGGACATTGATTAAAATTAGTTAATATTCACCCTCCTCAGTAAAAGCACTTCACAGTTAGGCCAATAATTGCATCCCATCAATGTTAAAACTAAGTGCAGATAACTGGGCATAAATTAGGGATTGTGCATGGATGGAACTATCCTGGTCACTGGTGCTCAGTACTATAGCCTGCAGTTTATTTATCTGCTGATGATATTGAGCAGGTCAATACTTTTAAAGTGAGCCCTCTAAAGGAACATTACCAAGCAAAAAGGTGCCAAATATTTATCTTTTAGGTGAAGGTAAATAAGCGGTTAAAAAGGTCAGTAGTATTCAATGGAAAGCTGATGCTGATGTCTTCAGTCACATTATTTTCCACCGATTTAAACAAAAAGATGCTGGTCAGGATTTAATGTGGACAAAAGGTGGCTTCCACCTAATTAAGGTTAATGTGTGTCTGTCTGCATCACTTCATTTTGAGAGAGAAGTGTGTTAGGACCACCCTTACCTATCCAGTCATATTCTAATTGTGTGTTGCCATTCTTTGCTTTGTGCAGAGGACGTGGTCAGCATTGACTCTGCAAGGGCCAAATGTAAAGCTAGTCACTTTGGTTTACGTTGTTGATGTGCTCCTCACGATCATGACGCCAGCTGACAGTTCCAAGAAATATAGCATATGGCGTCCTTGGCAAAAATCAATTGGGGAAAAAGGTGCTAGGGTCCTGATCAGTCAGCGGGGATGAACTTTCCATTGGAGGCACATCGATTTCTTCAGTTACAGCATCACCCATCTCTTCTACTTGTGAGTCTATCTTAATCCTAAGGAGGAATCCTATTCAGTGAACTAGCAAGAGCTGGAGGTCAAAGTCACCAATCACCTGGGCCACCAGTCAGGACTGCTCGCAGTGTTGTCTGACAGGGTTTGAGTTTTGATCATAAACCAACTGATCATTGCCATGTTGTCATACAAGTTGGTCATTTTGCTCCCTTCTCTGTAGTTGGTCATGCTGATGCAGAAGATGCTCATTAACTTCTGGGACCAAAGGCAAGTTGCGATGGAGTCTGCTGCTTAAGGAGGGTGGTCAGGTGCTGGTGTACCTTCGCATCCTCTTGATGGCTTTCCCTGGCAATACATTTCCTCTGCCAGGTGCTGGGGCTACTGGGATTTTAAGACTCCGATGTGTTGGAACGGAGAAATGCCCTGGATGATGCCACCGGGTGTAGGTCCCTGGTAATGTCCAGTTTGCCACCATAGCCATCCAGAGCCTGAAAACAGTGGCGCTGACCCCAAGGCCCCTTGTGATGACGAGGCAGCTCAAGCATAGAATGAGCTTCCATCCAAACTGACCTTTGTTTGGACGGAATTTCACGTTAGACCTTGCCCCGGAAAACTCCCTCAAGATCCGTGCCCCACAATTTCACCAGTCTTAAGGAAATTCATTCTGTGGAGGGTATTAGGCTATATGACAAGACATAGGAGCAGCAGTACACCATTCAGCCCATCTAATCTGATCTGCCATTCAGTGAGATCATGACTGATCTAATAATCCCCAACTCCTCTTTCCTGCTTTTTCCCTATAACCACCAGCTGCCAGTGATTCATAACCAGAGCCCAAACGGATACTATATTCATGTTCTTACAGAGGAACTTTTGCTGGCTGAAAAATTTGAGTTGAGTTATGTGGCACTTCAAGTAAAGCAGTTATGCAGCAGAAGAGATTTTAATTAAACGACTCAGAAGAAGCAAATTTGAACAAAGAAGAATAGGCTGGAGGGAAAATCTTGTTTTATTTACTAGTCTCATTTCACTTAATTTCCTTCTCAGAAGCAATTGCAATCTTAACTCAGAGAATAATTTGCATCTCGTTTATTTACATTTTTAAGACACTTTAAGAGCCTGAATTACACTAGTTCAAGTGTTCTTTCTCTAGTGAAAAGATGCTCAAATATATTCATGTAATTTCCAAAGGTACAGCTCCTACTAAGACACCCATTCTCATAGCCCTTTGCTGAACTCACTCAAAACCATCCTTTTGAAAAGAAACTGAATAAAATTACACAGAATTATTGATATGGTTTCACCAGTGAGTTACATAGCACAAGAATACATATTTCACTTTATTCAATAGTTTATTTGAATTTATTATGGAATGTGGGCATTGCTGGCTGGGCCAGCATTTATTGACCGTCCCTAGTTCGAGTCATAGAGATATACAGCACAGAAACAGATCCATCAGTCCAGCTCATCCATGCCAACCAGATATCATAAATAAATCTAGTCCCATTTGTCAGCATTTGGCCCATAACTCTCTGAACCCTTCCTATTCATATACCCATCCAGATGCCTTTTAAAGTGTTGTAATTGTACCAGCCTCCACCACTTCTTCCGACAGCTCATTCCATACACGTACCACCCTCTGCATGAAAAAGTTGCCCCTTAGATCCCTTTTAAATCTTTCTCCTTTCACTTTAAACCTATGCCCTCTAGTTTCGGACTCCCCCACCATGGGAAAAATACATAGGGTAAATAGCCAATCCATGCCTCTTACAATTTTATAAAGCTCTATAAAGTTACCCCTCGGCCTCCAACGCTCCAGGGAAAATAGCCCCAGCCTATTCGTCCTCTCCCTATTGCTCAAACCCTCCAACCCTGGCAACATCCACGTAAATCTTTTCTGAACCCTTTCAAGTTTCAAAACATCCTTCCTAAAGCAGAGAGACCAGAATTGCACGCAGTATTCCAATAGTGGCCTAACCAATGTCCTGTATAATTGCCCTTGAAAATATCATAGTGACCTGCTTGTTGAATCACTGCCGTTCAACAATAGGTGGTGGGGAGAGAAGAATTCCAGCATTTTGACTCTGCGACAATGAAGGAATGACAATATATTTCCAAGTGAGGATGCTGAGTGGCTGGAAGACGAACTTGCAAGTGGTGGTGTTCCCATGTATCTTCTGCCCTTGTCCTCTAGATGGTAGTAATTAGGTTTGGAAGGGCTGTACTGGAATGTTACTGCGCATACTGTTGCCTCTGAATCATAGAATCCCTACAGTGTGGAAGCAGGCCATTCGGCCCATCAACTCCACACTGCCTCATTGGCTCAGTTAAAAGTAAATTAAGCCATATCGGAAAAATAATTTCTAAACATTACTGAATGTATTTATTTTTCAAAACTGGAATTTTAAAAATTAATTCTTGACGTATGGGTGCCAATGACTAGGCCAGGATTTAAGACTTAACAGTCAATCGCATTGCTGTGGGTCTAGAGTTACATAATGGCCAGACCAGGTAAGGACAGCAGTTTCCTTTCCTGAAATATTTTAGTGAACTAGATTTTCATTAAATTCAAATTCCACCATCTGCAATGGTGGGATTCAAACCCGGGTCTTCAGAATGTTACCTTGGTCTCTGGATTAATACTCAAGCAATAATACCACTAGGCTATCACCTCCTCATAATGCAAACTAAAAGATGATTCTAGGCAGGGAATCAGCAAACAGAATTCAATCCAGAGAAACATAAAATTTTTGGAAAGGATTTCTAAGGCAAGAAAAAAAGTGATAAATCGTTGTATTTTCAGAAGTGTAGGGTAATGGACATGTCCACAAATTCCTTAAGTTGCAGGACAGGTAGACAAGGTGGCTAAGTAAGGCATAGGGAATATTTTGTTAGCCAATGCCTAGCATATAACAGCAGAGAGGTTATGCTAGAATTCTATCAAATACTACTTATGTCACAGCTCAAGTTAAGTTCTGGTCACTGCATTACATGAAGGATATTAAGGATACAGAGAAGACTTGCAAGAATCTGGAATAGATGGTTGGAGAGGGTGGTAGCTGGAGAAACACTTTCTGCATTTAAAATATATCTTATGCTTTTGAAGTGCCACAACTATGGGCTAAGAGTTGAAAAACAGGATTCTGCTGGATAGATTTTTGTTGGTTGAAACGATGGGTTGAGGGTCACCTTCTATGCCATAAGATGTTCTACGTTTGTAAGGCCAAGTGATTTGTAGGAGATAAACAGAGAAAACTGATTAAAAATAACAGTGACTCCAATGAGAACAATAAACAAATCACAATCTGTACTGTACCTTTGATTCCTTTGCATTTTGCTCTGTTTCAGGCTCTGATTCTTTATAAACCACAGCTTTTGTCACGAGCATGTCAGGGTGCTGCTGTTTCACTTCCTTAATTGCAAGAGCCAGAGCCTAGAGTAGACAGTACAATCATGAGATGAACATTGATTTGGTTTGAAGATTGCATTGAAAATGTACATTCCCAGCTAATGAAAAAAGAATTGTAGCAACACCATGATGGGTTCAATGATTTCCTAGTGCTATCTGGTACAAACAGACATGGTCAAACTGAAGATAACTCACAATTTTACTTAATAAAATAGGTCTTAAAAGTACACATTATCCTTGAATTTAGCCTGAAACGAAAATCAGATAAGCAGGGAGTGTTGCAAGCAGCAAATCCCAGTCGAAAAGCACATGGAGGATTTTGATTCCCCAGTCAAATCGATCTCATCTGCATGTCAACTGCCCAACTGTGACATCCAGGAATGGAATTTCAAATGGGAAGGTGGGTCAGGACACCAACTACGAGGGCAACTGAGGGCATTTACCTTGGAGCCGGAGAAGGTTTCTCCAGTCTCTGGAAGCAGCTTCACGCTCCTGCAACCTGCTAAACTATTCCATTCACCTTCTGGTTTTAGTCGGGAAAAGAAAGAATTTATGCAAAAGAGGCCTGACAGTCATCATTTCAAAGGCTTCAAACTGCCAAGCTCAAGATCCTTGAACCCGGTCTACCAATCAGGAGTTAAAATTTTCCAGCCCTACGGACAATTAAGTAATGATGCTCATTTAACGAACTGGTGCAGGGACAATGGACCAAAGGCTTCCTTCTGCACCATATCACTTCTGTGAAATTGATGTTAGTCATGAACCCCAAACATTTCAAACTTTTCATGCGTGACTCAAAGTTTTCACGTTTGCACCATTTGCCCACAATACCGGAGTGAGAATTGTGCTGACCACCATGATGTACATTGAACTGACTGATTTAATCCCGCAGAATGCAAGCTTATATTTACAAGCCACTGTGCTTAAACATTGCATACTTGTGTGACTGTAATACAATACGAACTGGATGTTTTGAAAAGAAAATAGAAGCCAACCATTCAGTCCTTGGAGGCTCCTCTGTCCTTCTCTACAATCATGGCTCATTGATTCCATTTTCCAGCCTGGTTCCAAGATCCCCTTCCTCCCCACGAGATCAAAAATCTCTAGATTTCTGTACTGAATGTTTTCAAATGATGGAACATTCGCAGTCTCTTGGAGTAGTGAAACTCCAAAAATTCACAACATTGAGTAAAAAAAATTTCTCAATCTGTCCTAAATGATCAACCCCTTGTCTACTGTTGCAAACTCAGAGGAGAAAGAAAAATAGTAATGCTTAGAAATGAATGTAGTAGTTTTGCTGGAGTTCCATCCGAGGTACACAAGACAAGTTGGACCAGTATGTGTGACATTTGCAGGTTTTGCTGTCTTTTCTTCTGGGGTATAGAACGTAGAACAGTACAGCACAGGAACAGGCCCTTCAACCAACATGTCTGTGCCAACCATGATGCCATTCTAAACAAATACCATCTGCCTGCACATGGTCCTTATTCCTCTATTCCCTGCCCGTTCATGGGTCTGTCTAAATGCTTTTTAAACATTGCTATCATGTCTGCTTCTACTGCCTCCCCTGGCAGTACCTGCCCGTCACCCTTTGCAAAAAAAACTTGTCTCGCATGTCATAGAATCCCTACAATGTAAAAGCAGGCCATTTAGCCCATCGAGTCAACACTGACCCATGTTTTTGCAAAAGTAATGTTACAGTATAACAGTGCACATAAGATGATGCAAATGATTTAGTACCTGGTCTTGGTCAACGTCAGCATCACCTGTGATGATGATTCTTTTCTCAATCCTGGTTTCTGAAAATCCTCCTTTCACTGACTGGATACACAACAAATCCCATTTGTTAGCATCACTTGTAAGTTCAGAAGAAAAACCTGCTCTGCAAGTCTAAACCTTAGCTCTGCAGACTGTCTGTGAAATGGAGTCTGCGCATGCCCGACATGGGGCAAGTAGCCGCATGTGTTTCTGAGCAAGTGTTCTGACACTCAAATATTGCAACTAGTTTCCATGCACATCAGACACCCAGCTGATTGAAGTAAAATCATACTATATTTTAAAAATGAACAAGAAAGATACATATAATTTCAACCACACATCATTCCCACAGTGATGATAATGTTTCTCCTTGCCCTGGGCTGAGGTTTAATGATTGTATAGGCCTAAGCATAACAATTTGGTGACTATTTTACAGTTGACCATAAATTTCTATTAGTTTGGCTCTGTGGGAACTCTCTTGCTTCCGAATCAAATATTAGTGGGTTCAAATAAAGGCAAAATACTGTGCATGCTGGAAGTCTGAAACAAACAGAATGCTGCAGAAACTCAGCAGGTCTGGCAGCATCTGTGGAAACAGAAACACAATTAATGTTTCAAATCTGGAATGACTCTTCAGAAGTTTTTCCAGCATTCTTGGTGCTTGTTTGTGGGTTCAAACCAGGTTTTGAATGTGCCATACATGTGTCACTGCCAGTGAATATATGTATAAAAAGGACACACTTACTTCAAAAAAAAACACAGCATGGAGTATGGACAGCTACTTTGACACAAGATGGAATCTGGGGCTTCGGTAGTATTTTGTGATTTCTGTACAGACTAAGATTAGTTCATCTCTAGAAAGTAATCAAAGTGTGGATGTACCTGTGGAGGAACCTTCTTTGAAGAGACATCAGAAGGCAAAATCACTCAGGGAATTTACACTTAATAGTTTGCGGATGTTTACAATTGCGCAAATGCAATGGCTCATCTCAGCTCAGGGTTTGGACATTTTAAATGTAACAAAGAAAGATGTGAAAAAGCCCATGTTATTGTGACTACATTTTGGCTGTTGTGTAAATGCAGGTTTAGGCTTACTTTTGATTTAAAAAGACCACTGGCTTTGTGTCTGTTCTTTAAAGTCACAACACTCAAAGTTTTAAGGGCCTCCTTCTCAAAATGTGAACTGAAAGGGAAGCAAAAAGGCCAAGTATTATCCCACCACCTCTCCCCATTTGCAACACGTAAATAATGCCGAGGTGCTCATTGTCAGAGATGTCATTTCTTGAACAAAGTACTAAGTGAGGCACTGTCTGTTCCAGTGGTTCAGGTAATGCAAAAATAATCTATCAATCCCAAAATATTAACAATAGAAAATTATCTGAGTGTCTTGGGCCACATTTCTTCCTGAACTAATACTCCAAAACTGATCTTTTGTAGATTGAGGGACTTCACTTTGCTGTGCACAATTTCATCACCAATTTGCTTATGTAACATAACTACCATTGGTTGGGTGGAGTTAAATTTGTCTTTTCTTTAGATTAAGAAAAAATAGCAGATTGGAATATAGAGTTGCTTGAAACTAATTCATTCAGTCTCACACGTTGATTGTTAACGGCTGTCACATGTTCTCTGTCATGAAGTTCTTTTTGATGATTGAGTTCCAATGAGGAAATGCTCAACTAGCTGTGAAAGCAATTAGTGAACAGCATCGTAAGGTGAGGTTTGACCTGGAGATTCAACGATGCAGAAGTTGGGTTTTTATGATCATTTAGGTGGAGATGCTAAGAGAGCAGGGATCTGCTGTAAGTTTCTGGGTGAGCTCCAAAACAGACAAAGACCTTGACTGTGGATTAGATGGCCATGGGCTGCATCAAATGCACTGTTCCTGAAGGCAAACAGTTAAGTTGTTGCCTCCAAAAGCCTGTGTAATTAGGGATGGTTGTTGAGTTCCAGGTGGTGAGAGGTCTATTCAGGGTGGACATGAGTATGCTATATTTCAGAACAACAGGGCAGTTCACCTGCTGTCCAGACCAAACTTTTCTCTTAATCAAAGAAATTAGAAACAGGTAAACTGGTCACTTAATGCCTGTTTGTATGGGGTCTTTTTACCCACAACTTAGCTACTGTGGTTAAAATAAGGAAGAAGGCAATCAAACTCTGAGGTACTATGGTAATCATATACAAATACAGTTAATGAGGCTAGGGTGAGAAAGTTAAAAGTGTTCGACTGGAAAATAAATGGATTAACACAAAAGATACATTTGTGGAGTTGCATTCCTATAGTGGCTTACTCATAGATATCAACAGCTCAGCGTGAGGCAACAGAACATAAAACTCAGATCTTGAGAGCCACAGTGGAGAGAAATGGAAGGTGTCTGTACAAAGTATTGAACAAAATTGTGGACAACTCCACTTGCTATCCTGAAAAAAGGATGTCCACCATTAAAAGCAATGTGACCTATTTAAGAAAACTGCATTTTGAGAAGAGATTTGAGACCCTGATATTCTTTACTCTGGAGAAGTGAATACTTAGAAGATAATTTATTTTGTCCTCATGATACGTAAAGGGTTTATACAACACGGTGCGTGATAAACTGGTATAGCAAAAGTCCTTAATTGGCAATTATATCTTATAAATCCACTGCAAAAGTCTACTTTAGTTTTTAGTGCATAACAAAACAAAATGTTAGTTAAAATCTGCAGCTTAGGTTACAAGTTCACTTCATTCCTGGAACACTGTAAAAGTCTTGGGAACTGATTATATTAAAAGAGATTAAATTTAATTTTGTTGCTCACAGGGGCCTGGTCATAACCCATGGTTTGAGGCCTTGCTTGAGTTGTCAGCTCATTCACGTGATATTGAGTTTTCTAACTTGGCAAGCATCAATGCTCTAATTCTCCAAGTATTCGATCATGGGGAATGAACACTATCACTATGCAGTTACCTCTGCTGTACTTTTAACAAATCAAACATTTGGTTGTGGAAGCAGAAACAAGACTTTCAGAATATAATCTCAAAAAAGGAATGTGAATCTTTTTAGCTGATAAAACAAGATTAAAAATGAACACTCAAGGTCATAATTTCCAGTTCACCATCACACGCCAAAACTGAAGTGCTATTATTAACATGTATCTAAATGTTCCTGGACTTTAGCTAATAGCTTTGTTTGCATAGCCTTGGGGACACATTCAATGTAAATAGTCTGTCATCAACTGTGTTACCTTAGTGATATGAGTAGTGGTTGACGTGGATATGGTTTCAGAAGTCACAGACTGAGAGCTTGTTACATTTGTAGCGCCACTGCCACCGTCAACCTAAAAAACAAGTAAAACACACAGGATATTAGACTACAAAAGAGTGTTAGTTCCCAAGGCGAAGCAGCAATCTAGTCATCTTGGAAATTGCTTATCTAACAATCAGCAACTTACAAATGATGTGGATACAGTTTCTGAGACAATACTTTGTGAACTTGTTACAGTTTCATTTGCCAGATCTGGGATAATGGTAACCTTCAAAAGAAAACAAAATAGCACAACTCACGTTAATTGGGTCTAACAATACTGAAATGTCCAACTTCTCATTATCTTAGAATGAATTCACCAAATTTGTGTTGCCTCTGGGGAGCTGTGCTCAAAACTCTGGCACACGGTTGTGACTCATGCTCCATGAGTGAATGAATGTTGAATTTATTTGATTTACCACGTGAATATTGTCATTGTGCGTCAACATGCCTGAAGAAAGCTATATTAGCAAAACAAAAGAGAATATGATCCCAAAAAACCCAAGCCAACTAAATAATTAAGAGCAGCAATGCAAAAATATATTTTCAAATTTGATAAAAGCATACTGAGCTTATTATTCAAATCCATCGTTGTTCTATTGCTGCATTTCCTAGCTTTATCTTCATGTGAGGTGCAATTTGTATAATGTCACTTTTCATACTATGTTACATTACAGACATGAGCCAGTCAGAGAGAAATGATATTCATTTACTTGTCATCCTTCTGAACTTCAGGATCTACCAAAGCATTTCACAAACTTCATTTTTTAAGTGCAATAAGGAAATGTGGCAGCTAATTAATGCACAGAATGGCCTCACAAGCAGAAATGAAACCATCTTTAATTGTTTTTCTTAGCGATGTTGTTTGGGGTACAAACATGGAGCAGGTCACCAGGAAAACTCCATTTAACCTCTTCAAATAGTTCCATAGGATTTTCCATATCATCTGTTGACCTGAGGGGGTATCTGGCAAAAGTCTTGGTCCTAGATTATATGCTAAATTAAATCAGAAGTCAATAGAATTGAATATCAGGTAGGGGGTATAGTCAGTAAGTGGTGTTGACACGTTTGCTCTATGCTACCATGCGAGATGCATTTGACCCACAGAGTTTATATCAGCAATTCATGAGTATCTTTAACAGTTAACACCATCCAACGTAAATTTTCAGATGGAGGATACAGGCATCAATCGGACAACAACAGGGGTATTGCTTTTAAACCTCCCAACAGAAGAAAATGAAACAGGACAAACCAGCAGTCATAAAACACAAGTGTAAATAGAACGGAGTACCCTAAACATTATTGACCAGAAAACCAAGACTTATTCACAAATGGTTTTGGCATGTGGGCTGTGGTTTGACCACCTGCTAGAACTTCAGATATGCTGAGTAATAAAGAAACTTGGGTGGAGTGTAAACAGTGTATTCTGTTATCGTGTATGTTTTGCCCTGGGAGAAAAGTTCCAGCACAGGTATCAAATTTTACTTTGGATTTAATTTTTCCATCACAAAACTGTTTCATATTTCATTCACCTCCACCCCAATAATGTCTACTGTCTGACCTTTGTTAGGAAGAAGCAAATAATCTCTGAATACCTGGGTTTTTGTGATTGATTTTGCCTCAATAGGTGAAGATGTTTCTTTTGAAGAAGTTTCCCTCTTTCCATCACTTGGCAGTCCAGATTTTGTTTTCATAATATCCTGTAAGTTTTTTTAAAATGAAATTGTCTATTATTAGTTACACTTGATTTACCCACACAGCCTTTAGCATGAGAAGCTATTTCTGCATTACTTATTTCTGTTGGGCCTGAAGCAAATTCAAAATGCATTCAATATCATAAATGTTCTTTTCCTGTCAAATAAATCTCCATTATAACTTAAACATATAATTTTTGCTTATAAGAATCCTTCTTTTTCATGCTATTTTACTCAGAAATTAACTAGTCACGGAAGAGTCCAATTCCAATCCTGCCTTTTTGTGTAGGCAAAACCCAATTGTTATCCAGGTTGAAATGCACCCCCAGCCAAAGTCTGAAACCCAGCCAATGGAGTATGGAGCAAGGCTCCTCGAAATCGGCCAGGGTGTCTGTGCTTCATCATTAATGTTAATTCTCCTCTCTGCAATGACAATAACCAGATGGTCACAGCTGCAGCCCTATGGAAGGCTTCCCCTTGCACTATGGTGGTTTGACAGCCATGGTCACTTTCTATTTTATCATTCTGAAGATTTTTCAGCCAGCGCCTCCATTTAGATAAGCCTTCTCTTCCTTCTATCCAGGCCAGCAGTGCCCATCTCTGGCTGCTGCTGGTCTTTCTGTGCTGGAGGCCCTCCGGTCTTGGGAGACCATCCACCATCCTTAAATGGATGAGACTACCAAAGGCAGCCTCTTAGTTGGTGGGTTCCTCTGAAATCTCAGGTTCCTGCTACTGGAATGTCTATGTTCCCAAACTCAGCCCAATGTCAGGGTTGGGACTCCTGAAATGAAAATTCAGCCCAACGCTTAAAACAGGATAGGTTTTGGAGAATTTGAATAAGCTTATCGCATAAATGGGTTAGAAGACCAGACAACATTCCACATTCATGCACATTAAACATACAGAAACAAAAATACAACAGTAATCTCTTAAAGGAGTTACTTGTATCTATTTACCACCATTAGACTCCTGATTAACCAGCATTAAATTTTTAAATTTATATTAATTCCTAAATAATACATCTATTATTGGCCAAGCCTCCTAAAAGCTCTGAATGTGATAATCCAAACTGAATCTTTGATTAGTAATACTTTTCCAAAATATCTATAATAAGAGCAAAACTTTAGCCTATTGTTAAAAAAAAACTTGTTAAGCAAAGTGATCTAAGTTATTGGAAAATGCAATAAGTAAACACGCTATGTCCAATTTGAAGTATTCATCTCCTTTAACAGAGACAGCACTGTTGTAAGCGAAGTGCTACTTTTATTCAAGACCTCTGCTTTGTAAACATTCCAGTTTGCATAGAATCACGTCATTTAGTTTATTCAATACAAATATATGTCTGTTAATAAGCACATGCTCTAATGATAGTTAGTTCAAAAGTACATTCTTTTAGAACAAATAAAACACAACATTGCATTCACAGGTTAAACTCAAGCAATTATTTTGTTAGATGTTCAAATCTGGAAATCAGAGATAAAATGAAAACTGTTCAAATTATTACACAGGTCAGTCAGCATCTGTAAGGAGAAATTACAGGTTACAACATTCAGGTGAAAAGCAAAATGCATACATGCAAAATGCTAATGTGTCCTTTTTCTTTACAGATGTTGGCCATTTTACTCTAACTCCAACAAATTGTTTTCAATTTTATAGAAACACATTCTTTCCAAATTTAACGTGCTTTAGTAAGTTGACTGTGGTTGACTTGGAGTAAGCAAGCAACTGGTGAGATGATTACAGTTTTACACACACTGACAGGTGAAATGTAGAAGGTGGAGACATGCATTTGATTTCCTAAACGATGTTAGGTTACCTCCTGTTGAGGTTTCTCTTGAGAGTTTTCAGGTTCGTGGTCAATGCTCTTATGTTGGTCCTTTCCATCCTCTTGAACAGGTTGTCTTTCAGTACTTTTATCAGGCAGAGTATTGACGTTATCTTCAGAGGTAGCACTGTCTGTTCTTTCTCGTTTCGACATCTTGGTTTGTGTTGATAACTTGTTCACTTCTAATATTCCATCTACTTCTTCGACTGTACCTGGTACTGTATATTCTTTCTCAGCTTCAAAATTTCCTGAGGAATTTATAGAGATGTTTGAATGTTTGTGTTCTGCTTCCATCCCTATCTCCTTTGTCACCAACGGCTGGGTCACAAGTTCTTGCATCTGCTCCATGGCTTCTTCAGATTCTTGTTTGGCTACCGTGGGCTTTCTTTGCGGTTCCTGCTTTGCTTCAGTACTCTGAGCAAGAAAGAATGATGAAGATCAAGATGGTAAGGATTGAAAAGTAACATTGTTTGGAATTTGAATGATATGGACCAATGGAAAAAAAATGTATTCAACTAGAGGAATTTAGAAGCTGGTCAAAAATAATCCAAAACATGATCATAAACGAACAGTTTAAATGACACATGGGTATTATGGAGAAACAAACGAGTTAATGTCTAAGCAGGTTGTTAATTAATTAAAATCAGCAATCTGGGATTTGTCAGATTCTTCTTCATGTAGTTTATGTGGAAATGATGGCTCCTGTAAAATGAAAAGGTGTTCTTAAAATAATGGCATATTTGTTTTTGATATCTGAGATAGGAATTGTGTACTTGAGAAACCTCGGAGTTGTTTCTGATGAAGCAGGTACATTTGATCACAATAGAGCAATGTTAAACACTGAATAAATTAAACAGGCAATTAGCAAAAAATATGAAAAAAGTTAGCAATACCAAAACTGAGATGCTAAAAAAAACTCCACTATGTTGTGTAGATGAACCTTTTAAATCATATATAAATGTGCAGTTTAGCAAGAGTTCAACACCTGTGTGATATTTACTGAAGTAACAGTACTTTCCAACGTCTCTCCTTTTACTGGTGATTTCCCTGGAGATTTTGAAGCTTTCTGTGAGGCTTTTACTTCCCTGTCTTCCAAGGCACATTCAAGAATAGGAGGTTTAGTCTAAACAGACAAAAGCATCAGTTAAAAGCTGTATGGGAGAATTCAGAAAGCAGAGTCTTCACTGTTAAATGGCACAGCAGCATAACAGTTCGGGAGCTAGCACCACAGCAATAGCAGGAAATCAGCCACAAACAATTCTTTTGACAGGCATTAGTATGCTTCAAAGGAAAGAGCAGAAAAGTGAAGAGAAAGGAAATAAACTAAGCAAGGGGAAGTCACAGCCTATTCTTTTTCAGAGTATCAAAATGCAACTTTCTAGCAATATGACCTTTTTTCGGGGAGGCACATCAACAGTTGCCTCAACAGACTATTCCCATTGTTCTCAAACGCCAATTTGGTTGGGTCAATTGACATTTGCAGTTGCAAAACTTCAAATGGTCTAAACAAAAAAGGAAGCAAATTAACTGATCGAATACAATGCTCTGCAGTTAGCAATACATATGGTTAAAACATAAAATAGCAGTTTATAAATAAGCTCATTTCAAGCTATGTAAACTTGTATGATGTAAAATGCCATTTGACAAAACATGCTGGAGCAATGTTTCCTTGTGACAATTCATATGAAGAGTTACCGTTGCTTCGGTCAATTCCACTTCACAGCCTGAATCCGGAGATCCAACTTCAGAAATCTGTGCTGCATGCTCAAAGACTTTAATCGGCTTTTTTGAGCAAGTATTTTCTCCCAATTTCAATTCAAAATAGGATATTTTATCCTTCAGGGTAGCTGAGCCCATATCATATACTTCTGCATATCTCTCTTTAAGTTTGGATGAAGAATAAATTTCTGTCCCCTCCTCTGATGGATTTGGAAGTTCTCTGCCACACTTAACTATTGAGCTCTCCTTTCCAGGTTTGAAAGTGTGTTTTAAAGTATCTATTTTTGACTCCGCTTCAGCAGGTCTTTTTGTGATCTTTACGTACTCGTGTTCTGTGTGTTTAATGGATACAGATTCAATCGATTTTGATGACAGCATAACCACTGTTGATGGTTTCAGTTTAGATAATTCATTGACATGTGAATATTCTGCTTTAATGATTAAATCTGGCTCCAACAACTCAAGATCAGGAGAATTGGGTTCACATGATTTTTCCTCAGCATATTCTATTTGAGTTTCTGACCTGAAATCTATTTTGTCATTCATGGAAAATAACTGATCAGATGGATCTTGGCTTGCATCTAATGACATTTCAGAGGATACCAAGTTGTCAAGTTCCAGCAAGTTCTTAGATTTTGAACAATCCAAGTCTGAAGATATATCTGTAGAAAACTGCACAGGTACTTCAGATTTAGCAGAATCATTTGCATCACTCTGGAGAACTGGCTTGAGTACTTTATCATCCTTTGGCAAAAAGGATATGAACTTATCACTATCCTGCGCTGTAGACGGCTGTGGCTCGCTTCCATCCTGCGCTGTAG